AATGGAAATGTCATGCAGATCAGAATAGAAGACTAGAACTTCCATGGCAAAAGTGATTTGAAATTGCTATGGGCGTTGTTCGGCTCCTAAAAACTGAGGTCCTTTCCAATTAGGAAAGGAGGGTGAACGTCGGGCGTGCCAGGAACTGCTGTCGTTCCAAAGTGGATATCCGAACAACTATCCAGTAGGAAATTGCAGGGATCAGGCGATTGAATGAAGAACTGGAATTACCACCTTCAAGGGTTCTTTTTGCCTTGAAAAAGGACTTTCGAACTGAACTATGGCTAGTGGAAAAGAAAGCGGTATTGAAAGTGTAGGACTTCAAAGTAAAGTGCTGGAAAGTAGAAGTAATAAGTGCAGGACTTGAATTAAACATATTGAAATTGTATTACATGAATGAAAAGATACATGAATGTAAGGAATTGAAGTGTTGTTTTGCTGTGTGATTTGAACAGGGTTTTCAAGTGAAGCCTAAGTGTTCTATTTATAGAGTTCTCCATGCATGTAGCAGCTTGGTGTGGCGACTTCAGCAGTTTCCACACGGACTGACTTCGGACTGCCACGTGTCCCATGATCTTTCAGCCTTCTCTAAATGTTGCCAAGTGTAAACCCATGTTCTCCCATGATCTACAACTGCTATATAGTGGTCTTTGGCGGTTGAATCCATGTTTATAGGCCTTCTCCCACGTTCTTGGAACTGTCCAGATGGAAAGGCAGCAGTTCCAGCGGTTGAAAAGTTCCACCTGGAAGGCCCAGATCATACCACGTGTCCCACGTTTTCCTCATCTTTCTTTGGTAAATGCATCATGTTTTCAGCCCACTTTGCTAATTTTTAGCAACCTTCTCACCTAAATAAGGCAAGTGGTTGCCTTATTCTTGGAGTGACTCCTACAAATTAAGAGATATTATATAAGCAAGGAAGTTGTCATTCTTGATGACTAGGTCAAAGGTACACATGGCTTTCTAGATGTTGCCACGTGTCTACTTGGAAAATCCACATCTTTCCAACTATAGATCTTGTACCAAATTTGATGAAGCCACGTGTTGCTTCATGATTGCACTTTTGCATATCACATTTCCTATTGAAATTGGCCATGACAATCTTTTCAACTGGAAAATATTTATGATGTAATCAGGCGTATCAAGGGGACTTCTCTACCTTCAGCAGGACTCGAGATTAAGAATCATTCATAGAGATCTCAAAGCTAGCAACATTTAACTAGATGATGAACTAAGTCCCAAGATTTCAGATTTTGGGACAGCAAGAAGTTTTGGGAGAGATGAAATTGAAGCCAAAACAAAGTGAGTAATCGGAACATAGTAAGTTTTGTAAACAAATTTCAGATAGTACTAATTTATCATTTTCAAATGCTTAAATTTGATAATTTTATGCAATGGTTACATGTCGCCGGAGTATGCCATTGATGGAAAATTTTCAGTAAAATCTGACATCTTTAGCCTAGGTGTACTCTTACTAGAGATAGTGAGTGGCAAAAGGAACCGGAAGTTTCATCATCCCGATCATTTATCAATCGTTTTTGGGACATGTATGGTGAAATGTATTCTGTTTTATTTTATTTCTCTCTCTAACTTCCTACGTGAAATACTAAATTTGAGGATTGTGATTGTTACAGGCTTGGTTGCTGTGGAATGATCATAGAGCCCTTGAATTAGTGGATTCATGTTTGGGGAATTCATACATTGAATCTCAAGTGCTAAGATGTATTCAAGTGGGTCTTTTATGTGTTGAAAAACTACCAAAAGACAGACCAACCATGTTAACAGTAGTTTTCATACTAGGTAATGAGGGAGTGGCATTGCCTGAACCTAAGCAGCCTGGTTTCTTTGTCGAAAGAAGTTCTATTGATGCAGAGACATCAAGAGTTGAGAGAAGTAATACTGGAAATTCCTTAACAATAACAATAATGGAAGTTAGATAGAAGTAGCAACTCCTAGTGCGTACTATTGTAGTGATGGAGTTGATGCATATTAAGGGTTTGTTTGGTTAGATGGAAATAGATGGTGGAAAGTGAAAGTGAAAGAAAGTGAAGTGAAAGAAAAGAAAATTAAGTTTCCATGGTGCATCTGGTTAGCATGGAAATTTTTCAAGAAAGTTGTGAGAAAATATTATGTTGTTAGTTTGGATAGAATGAAAGAAAAAAGAAAATGATTGTACTTGTCAAAATTGTCCTTATAATTATAAATAATAAAAATATAAATAAATTGGAGTAAAATTAATTCATACATCAAATTTTGTTGTTGATAATAATATTCTGAACTTGTGTGAGACACCAAGTCACCGGAATTTCTTTACTCAAAAAAAAAATATATATATATATATATATATATATATATATATATATATATATAATTTGGACCTTACAATTTATATAGTAATTGTAAGGATTTTGATGAAGTCGAATAAAATTAGGATTGTTCCACTATATGTTTGTTTATATTAGAATAACCAAAACCAATAGAATTTTACATATAACAACCAAGTTTATGAGGTTTTCTTCTTGAATTCAACTAGAATTATATAACTATAAAATATTTTATATTATTCTTTTTAAGGAACATATATATTTCGTAAAATTTATAATAATTCTAGTATCAAAATTATAAAACCTAGTTGATATGTATATACACATATTGAAAATTAATATAATGCACTTAAAAAATATCCACCATAATATGTTATATGTATATACGTATTTGGAAGGAAAAAAAAAAAATAAATAAAGAAAAAAAAGGGAAAAAAAGAAACTAAAGAAAAGAAAAAGGGAAAAAAAGAATAAAGCAATAAAAATAGATTAAAAAAATTTTGCTAAAAATAAGATCTCTCTAATTTCACAATTTCATTTACATTTGGAAAAAAAATGTCTATAAAAAAGGGATAAAAAGATAAAGGAAACCCAAGTTATCCAACTGATAATTATGGGTATAATAGGAATTTAAAATATAACTTAACAACTTTCCCGAGAAATAAAAATTTTCGCGTGTTTTATACGGGAACCATTTTAAAGAAAATTAGCTACTTGCGATAATCCAATTTCCTGAAAATTTTTCGTTTCATCCCAAACAAACGCACAAAAAATTTAAATATTTTCCGATTCTTTTCTTTTCTTACTAGTTCTACCTAACCAAACGAATCCTAAGGGAAAAAGGAGAGACGGTTTCATGTCCAAAACTGATGACATGCACTTATTGATTGAGGTCTCCTTTAACACTGATTAGTAAATTGCATACTAATTCACAACATTGATTAGTAGTACATGGCACATTTGTAATTTAATTTTAATTTTTCACTTTCTTTTTTTTTTTTTTTTTTTTTTTTTTTTTTTTTTCGAAGACATTTTTGTTTGAGAAATTGACTGGAGATTTCAATTTAATTGTGAGAATCAAGTCACTAGCTCAAATGAATGTCCTTGAATCTTCCTGGATTATGTACAGACGAATGTGAAAATCACATCACTCTTCATCCCAAGAAACTATACAACACTATGCCAGTGAAAGCATGCATACACTATGCATTTCTTCCAAGTATATGGACATAAGCAGCTTCCTGCTCTAATATTTCCAGTCATATTGTTTGGTCAGTGATGTTAAATGCCAAGTTTATTATATGATTGCAAAAATTAGAGCATGATCATAATGTGAATCATATGGAGATTTAATTTGTCACCAGTGACTCAGTAGTTCTAATTCACCGAGTAAATAATATGATTGGAAATATTAGAGCATGACCATAATATGAATCGCATGATGATTTCATTTGTCACAGTGATTGAGTACTTCTAATGAACCAAGTTAATTATATGATTGGCAAAAATTAGAGCAGAACAAAATTGTGAAGCACATGGTGCTTTAATTTGTGTCACCAGTGACTCTGAGTAGTTCTAATGCACTGTTTTTGTTTTTAATTGTGCAATTATGCATATTCTTTCCCTGCATTTTTATACGTACATATAGAGATAAGATTGCATTCATCTCTCTCTCTATATATCTCGTAATAGTAGAATTCTCATATACTTGGTTATTCTTAGGACCCGTTTGGATCGCGATAACGTTATATGTTATGGTTTGGTATGATATGAAAACAATCGTTTTGGTATTGGTATGTTTTTAGTAGAAATCGGATCCATGTTTAATAACGAGTGTTTTGTTTTTGTTAATTGTATATCAAAAACATAAAAACGCGTTTGGTAATGTTATGCGTTTTAAAGAATTCGAAAACAAAACACGTTTGGAAAGTTTGTTTTGTTTTCAAAAATTCTGAATTAATAACAGAATACATGTTTGGTAAAAGACTGCTTTGTTTTTGTTTTGAATAATTATATATATGAATACAATTATAAGTTTACATGTAATAGTCCATTTTTTTTTTTTTTTTTTATGATTTGAGATAATTTGTTAAAATAAAAAAATAAAAATATTTTGCATTAAAGAGTTGGGAAAAAAAATTATGAATAAATTTACATGTATAAATAAGATCATGTGGTATGTTTATGAGGGATAAACATGATTAGTGACAACCAAAGTACAAATCTAACTTTGTAATAATCTTTTAATGAGAGCAGATCTTTGCACTCCATTTATCTTTTTCTTTTGGTTTGCGCTCCATTTAACTTTGTTTTATTTCATATATATATATATATATATATATATATAAATTCATTATGAATGATAGAGAGAGATCCTTGTAGTTGAAACTAACAAGAAGTAAAGCCAAAACGTTGATCTTCTTGAATTGGTCAGAGTTGAGGCTTGGTGGACATTGAAGCTTGTGAATGGGTTTACTTCATTGAGATTAGTTTGAAATTTTGTGCTGGAGATCCTTCAAAGTGTTAATATTTTTATTATTAAATCCTGAGACCATTTCCTCTTTTTCTAAGTATTTATTTTGATAACCAACTTCTGAATATTTCATACAATCTCCGACCATAATTAGAAATGATAAATAGGAATATTATTAGAAGCAAGCAATCAAGGAAGCTAGACATGAAATGACAAGTTTTTTTGGTACATCACAAACTTAATAAATTGTTGTTGCACCATTCATATATATACTTGCACATATAGGGAGCTAGACATTCCTTAAAATTAATATATGTGTACATACACACTTCATTATATTTACATAAAATGTACACACCTACATCTAGAAATCACTAAAATTCATTCCATAAAATGTACACACACTTCTTTATACTTGCATAAGCCTCCATTTGCTTAAGTTAGAGATCACCAGCTTCTTGGAGTTGCAGCAACTGGAGAATGCTTCCTATAAATCCCACTGGTGCCACTGCCCATAACTTACTACCATGTCCTTCAACTCCACCACGAAACAGCTGCATTCTACTAAGCCTGAAAAATTGTTATATGTTTCACAGTTATATATTTCACATTTTTCTACTGTTATATATTTCAAAAATCCATTTCAAGTTTAAAAAATCAACCACATGCCTTTTTGGAATCAAAGTTTAAATTCTATTTTTTTTTTTTTTCGAAAATCCTGCATGGCTTCCCCTTTAAAATAGACATTTTCAAAATTGAACCTATCACAATAAACACAAGGGACACCGCCCACAAAATTATTTCAACAAGGGACACTGCCCACACAATTATTTCAATCAATTTAATAAGGGACACTGCCCACAAAATTAATCCACAAATCCAAGTAAAATTGCCTGTTTTCCTCCTAAACTATTCCAACAACCACAAGATATATCTAACCTTTTATCAGGCTAAGTTGCAAATTTGGAGTGTAAATGACCTCATGCAAAACCAAACACATGAACAACATTACAGATAAACAAAATAACACATGGTAGAAATGAAATAATTTAACAGTACTAAGCAAGATATATCTAACCTTTTTTCGGGCTATATTGCAAATTTGGAGTATAAATGACCTCATGCAAAATCAAACACGTGAACAACATACAGTAATCACGATCCAAACCTACATTGTTCTTAAATTTTCTACCTTCAAATTACACACGAGAGAATTATTATATTACATCTGTCAAAGTATATGATTTCAAATCTTAAAACTCTCTCAACATATCAGATTCAAGGTAATGCAACTTATTCAAGGTGATGCAACTTATAATCTCACATTTTATTGTGCCTGGTAATTGCATAAAATATAAGGATACAAAAATCTCACATCTAAATACAATATAATAAGGCCGGATAGGGATTGTATGACATAAAGTTAGGTATTTTATTTTTAATCTCATGCTTATTTCTAATTTATTAATTTAATTGAATCAAACAATTTATATTTCTAGACATGTCATATGATCTCAGTTACTAACGAAGGCTAAATTTCCAAATAATTGGTTTGAATGATACTTTATAAATTTTCATAAGTTGCCGAAATAGGTTTTACTTTTTAGCTATAAAATTAAAATTGAGTTATGAAATTATGCACTCCCATTTCTATGTACACGGAATTATTCATCACTTTGCAGAGAATAAAACTATATCTAAATTTGGATTATGCTACTGTATTTGCTACTGAAAGAATATGGAATTGTGGAACTATAGTTATGGAACTAAATTTGAAATTTTGTTACTGTGTATATATATAGAGAGAGAGAGAAAGAGCACCTGAAAGAATCGCCCTTGACGAAATCGATACACAGAATGTATGACCAACAGAAATTTGCAGAGAAGAAGCGTCGATCTGTGGTTGTGAAGAACTCTAGGGTTTCAGATTCGGGTCACACTCCATTTAACAGAGAGACGATTGAGCTGAAAACCAAGTACGGGAGGATTGATCGATTTGTAGCCTAGCAACGAAGGTGTAACGAAAATGAAGAACAATCGGCTTCAGAAATCGCCTCCAAAGGAGCTGCGCGATGAGAGAGAAAATGATGATAAAGAACAATCTAGGGTTTCAGATTCGGGTCACACAAATACATAACAGAGAGACGATTGAGCTGAAAACCAAGTGCGGGAGGATTGATTGATTTGCAGCCTAGGAACGAAGGTGTAACGAAAACGAAGAACAATCGCCAATGAAATCGCTTCCAAAGGAGCTGCGCAATGAGAGAGAAAATGACGATGAAAAATGGCTCGGTTCTGATATGCGATTTTTTATACTTGATATCACCGCTACAGTTAAATGAGGGTTGATATGGTTTTGGTTTGGGTTGATATGGCCGCTACAGTAAACCATATCACCCAATATCACCAATTCTTTGATATGGGTTTTGGCCCAAATCTCATAATGTTTTTACACTGTTTAATACCACATCAACCCACTCCAAACATGATATTAGCCCAAAAATGAAACCAAAACATGAAAATAATAACAGATATGGGCCTCCAAACAGGCCCTTAGGGGTATGAAATTCTGTTGTTAATCAGTAAAAAAAAATAAAATAAAATTTAAAGACATCTTATTTTTCCCTTTCAATAAAAGTATAGTTACTTGCTCGAGCTTTAGGCTGGTCAAGCTCGCCTTGTCTAAATCAGAGTGCTGCTCTCGGCTTGGGCTCGCTCGAGCTCAGCCTAGCAAGGCTCGAGCTCAGCTTGGTAAATTTTTTACGAGCCCGTTCGGGCTCTATGTTGAGATGCGTGTTTGTTTATATAATTATGTGTATATATACACACACACATACACTTACCTATGAAATCGATCGAGGAGAACCATTTTGAAACAGGAAAATGTCACTATCAATGCACGTGTTAAACACTCATCTTCTCCACTCTTCAAAGTCTCCTTCACTAGCTTCAAGTTAATCAATGTTTGATTTATCATATTTATGAATAATATTAAACGAGAGAGAGGGGGGAAGAGATAGACCTAACCTGATATGGCCTCAGGAGTAGAAGACAACCGCCTGAGAAGTAGAAGGATGTTGCAATGACTGGATTTTCGTTGCCCCCAATTGGATTGGAGAAGCCGTTGCAACATCTTGCGGCAACTTTTAGGGTTTCTTAACCCTTAAAGAATGGTAAGTTACAATCAAATGGCTAAGATGAATCTATGATTAGTTAGTGGGCTACTTAATTAGATGGGCTTCTAAATGCCCAAATACTGGTGGGCTAATGAAAATATACTTTTAAGAACTTGGGCCTATAATTATATATGTGGGCTAGTTTTAAAATATAATAATTTATATTATAAATATATATTTATGTAAACGATCTCAGGAGTTCAAGAACCGAACTTAATATTGTTCAAGTTTAGCTCATTTATTAAGTAAGCTTAAAAATTAAGTTCGAGCTCTACCTCATCTCATTTACTAAACGAACGAGTCCGAATCGAACTTTTAACAAGCCAAATCAAAACAGTTTATGAACGATTCGATTAATTTACAGTCTTACTAATAGGTAGAAAATGCTCACTAAACTATTATAGTCAATAAAAAAAAAACAACTAATGGTTAAAGCAGCCTTACTATTGTGAATGACCCAGTCTTCAGACCTTTATTTTCACAACTGGAAATAGTTCAACTTAAGAATGGGTTTCATTTTTTTTCATAAAAAAAATTTTAAACCAGTCATAACCGGGTGTTGAGCCATTTTGACCCGTCCCAAATCCTACCCAGCCCACCCGTTTGCCACCCCAGGTTTACATGTTACGAAACCCCAATTCGGCGGCCCTCTACAAAAGAAAAATTAGGCGTTACAGGTAGTAGCAGCGGCTAAGGTGGAGGTGGAAACAGTGGTGGTGGTGGTGGAGACGGCGGTTTCTGGTCGAAAGTATTCCGTGGTTGCTAAGCACAACGAATCACAATTTCAAGAATGGGACTCAGACGGGTTGGGTTACCTGCCAACATTGTGGTATTTTTGCACAACAAGCTCGGTGGCTTCAAGAAATACAAAGTCTCTGAAATTTTATTCTTCCATTGATGCACCACCGTCTGCACATTAAGGTATTGAAAAATTTTCTACTGCCAACAATACGCTGTAATTGATAACGAGGTCAGTTTCTTCATTTTATTTTGGGAAAATTAGATTTCAATGAACAAAAAAAAAAAAATTTTTTTTTTTTGCCTGATATATAAATGTATGAAGGTATATGATTTGGTGTAGTACCTGGACCCGAATCCTTCCAGTGGAACAGTAGAAGTGATTGAAGCTTGATTAAATCTTTCTGTGAACCAATAGTGAATGCGATTTGGTGTAGGTAACAGATATCTGAGATAGCTGTTACACAATGTTTGTCAACAAAAGGATAGTTATGAAATTAGTCTCAAATGATTACTAAAGCGGCATATATTTTTAAGATTGATGACTATCCATCTTTTTGTAATTTTAAAATTATTAAGCTTAATTTTAATCACTAAAATAATTTTTTCTTTTACTTCATTTAATTTAATTTAATTTAATTTAATTTTTTTTTTAAGGGGTTGCTGTTAATTGTCATGATGGTCAGTTTTAACATTAGATTAAGTTAACTACCGTGTGAATTCTGCAAAAAATAGACAATATAGGGTGTTAAATGTCAATAATATAGTTTAAGGGATTAACATATACACGATTTTTCTCAAAACTCAAAGATTACATGATACATCCATACTTCAACATTTAAAGTCTGTGCCCCATGAAATGGGTCACCATGTTGAATTCTGTAGGCATAAAACCAGGCTGACTGTCATGCCCGGCCTTTAGAGGTTACGCCTGCGCCACGCAGGCAACACGTGACTTTAGGCCCGTGACAAGAGGCTATGAAATGGGCTACTCCTAATATCCTCGGGACTGACTTAGCACTTCCCATCAGTGACTGCTTTTGCCATAGCCTAGGTTGGGAGGAGTACCATGAGGACACCTATTCAATAATGAAGAAGCTTCTCCCGAAATTCCAGGTTTTTATTTTTATTTTTTTATAATTATTATTTATATATTAGGTAAATACTCTCTCACACACCCACACCAATGTTCACTGTGGAGTCAAATCCCTCACATCCCATTTGAGGGAGAAGTGTCACCAGTTCAGATTCATTATATAGCAATTTATGCATGCGGCTCATTCAAGTAGCTTTATTTGTACTAATTACAGGATAAAAAAGAGGTGATATTCTTACTCCAATAAAGGTTTCAGTACTCCACTTCCTCTTGTATGGTTGGAAGGTACACACGCATCTCTCTCCAATCCGTCATGGGAATATTTCAATTCTTGTTTATCACACACACACACACATATATATATTGATATTGAATCTTTGTCTTTGTTAATTGTCCATTAATACAATAATCAGAAAAGAAAAATATATATATATATGAATCTTAACATGATGCTCCAACAGACAATAATGCATTGCGGGGCATTAAATATGAACTTAAATATTGAAATAAGCTTCTGTGAAGGATTGTTCATTCAGCATGCAGTAAGCCTGCTCTTAAAAGCTATTTATAAAGATACACGCATACAAGTACACATTCCTAGGGACTATCACTGATTATGAAATGACTCTGGCTGAGTTTAATATGTTCCACTACATAAAATATGACTCGTGCTAATTTGTAATATTATTTTAGCCATATCCATTATTACACAATGGTGTATAATACAACAAATTTGTTTCTTTTTTATTATTATGAAATATAGTGAGAAACAAGATTAGAGAAAATAAGTAAAAAAATTATACTTTAATTGGTATTCATTCAAAAAAATTTTTTTTTTTTTAATCTAAGCTGAAAAAATGATAAATATGCTTTGGTAGATAAAGTAACACACGCATTCATATTGTTTTGTTGAAAAATTGACCTTCAATCTTATAGTTGGAAAGAAAAGAATATACTACTTCCCCGTAATTATGAACTTTTTTTTCTTTTTATAATTAAAATGGAAATATAGTAAGACACAAGATTAGAGAAAATAATGAAAAATTATAATTTAAATGTCATTCTTTTAAAAATAAGGGAACAAAATCAAAAGAAAAATGAAAAAAAACTGACATTTGCAGATAAACTTATGTATTATCATATTTTTTTAGCAATTTTTAACCGCTCTATAACAACAAAGGGAAACTGTCTACTACTGTTATACATAGTACGAAGAATAAAAGATGCAGTGCATTTAAAGCCAGCTGCCCCATGAAATTGGAATGAATCAAGAAACTGAAATGATCAAACATAGTCAGGCCCACATGAGTTACTTCAGTGCCCTCCAATGTGGAAATTCTGAAGGTCTATTGCCTAATTGTTGCTTACAATAATGTTTTGATGACAGCCAGAGCATTGTCACCGTTTTTTTTTTTGAGAAATATTGCCAATGGCTCTCATTCCTTTCATCATCTTTTACTCACTAATCTCATTCTCATTCTCAGTCTTAGAATTCTCCACTTGAAAATACAAAGAATTTCCCCAATTACAGAGAGAGAAATTTTTCACTCTCAATTTTTCTAACTTCTTTTCCCTCTCAATTTCCCTTATTTATAGACGGTTACAACCTCTTTTGGCCTGGGCCTTATCTGCTCCCTTTTGCCTAGACTCAACTTCTTTCATTTTAATATGGGCTTCTGTAATAACTTTATGGATCTGGGCCCATCCAGCGTGAACTTGCTCCCTCCTGTCTATCCAAACCCGACCCGTCCTTTGCAATACGGATCATACCAAGCCCGGGTCATTTTGGTGTCCTCATTTGCCTCCAATAATCTCTCCCCTCATTAATGAGGGTGAGATTATTGAAAAGACATGATCTTGGTCTGACGGCTCGGAGCAATGACACTAGGAATCCAATGGCTGGCACAAAAACCCAAACTTCGAGATCTGCAGCGCCACTTTTTGCCTTGACCTTTTGAGTTCCATGTCGCCTTTACTTTTCCTCTTTAAAAATTCCAGTCTTTCAACCTTCACCCTTCTTCTTATATCTCGCTTTTACTCTCCGCTGCCTTCTTGCACATTTCTGCGATCCTTTTTCAATTTCTCCAGCGAGTTTTTCCTTTTCGATTTTTAGCTACTGTGCCGTCGCTGCGTTCATCACAAACTTTCAAGGTCAGTTTTTTTTTTTTAAATCTCTCTTTTAAAAAAAAAACACCTTTACTGCCTAGGACTCCTCCCCTTCTCTATGGCTCCCCCTAATCTGAACGTTATTCGATCCAAGAATTGCATTCCTCGCGATGTTTCTCTCAGAGTTTATCCAATAAACTTAGACTGGAGATCAGGTGAGGGTCTCCTTGGGGAGGTTTTATTCTCCGCCGTTCACTTGAACGTCATTAGGTTCCCCCTACACCCATTATTTTGTTATGCTTTCAACAAATTGGGGCTCTGCCCCCTGCAAGTTAACCCCAATTTTCTTAGGGTAATTTCAGTCCTCCTGCTCTTGAATCGTGACAGGGGTCTTAATCTTGATATTATTGACCTTCTCCTCTGTTATCGGATTAATAAGATTTCACAAAATGATTTGTACTATCACTTCTTCTCTATTGACAAATGGTCGATCTACAATGATAAGAACTCCTTTGAAAAAGGTTGGAGACGAAATTTAATTGTGGTTAGTGGGAATTGGCAGACTCCGCTCGGCCAATCCTTCTCTATCCCTTCTTCCTTTGAAACATGCTCTGTCTCTGGCTACAAAAAGCTGAAAACACATCCTACTGAATGCCACTGTGAAAGTTGTCTTCCCCGTTTTTGCACTTTTCTTTGTAGATGCCTTCAAATTCCCCATGATGAACTGGTTTATAGCGTCTGCAAGGCTAGGCTAGACACCTTGCAAGAAAGTGTGCTGAACAATGTCCCTTCAGCTACTGATTTGCTTACATCTGACAATCTCTCTGACATCTCTCTTTTAGGGTCCACAATGGAGAACATTCAGATCCCATCTTTTAGCAGGAGAAGGCGTCCTGCTCCCACCCCTTCTAACGCTCCTGCTATCACATCATCATCTACACGTGCTTCCACATCGTCTTCCCTTGCTGTCTCTGCCCCAGAGCAAGTTGTGATTGTTCCAACTGTGACTCAAGTCACAAACCGTTCTGCTGATGAGCCTTCTGAGCTCACTCATGCTGAGAACCCTATTATGGACCATACTGCTGAGATCCGTCCTGCTGCTCCCATCATTATGCCTTCCAACATCTCGTCTAATACTTCCTCAGAGAGCACTCAAGATGCTGGAAATTCTCAAGACAATGGAGGGCCAGCTAATGCTGGTTTGTCAGAAAAAAGTTTAGGAAAAAGGCCAATGCCTGAGGGCGGTCATGACTGGAGCGATATCCCACCAGCCCGGAGGATCAGGATGGCTTCCTTCAGGGTTACTGAACCGTTGCCCCCTGCCCGGTTCTTCATTCCAGAAGGTGAATCGGCCAGAACCTCTGGTCCGACTCCATCCGTTCTTCTATGGCCACCTTTGCTCAGCCGTGAAGATGGATCGACCATTGGCCCCACTGACTCAATATACAAGGACCCCTTCACCTCCTTTGCTTTCTACAAGGGTTTCTGGACCCCCAAGGACCTTGAGATTCAGAACAAGCTATCTTTTGGTGAGATGTTCCAGCGGTTCCCTGTTGCTGCTATGGAGGTGACTCTTCTTTTTATTGAAATGCGTTTCTTTTCTGCTATAACTCTTTAGTGGTTAGTCTGACCTGAATTTTCCTTCCTTCATGCAGACTCTATTCGGGATGTTCACTTTCCAAAAAACCATTGAAACTCTGAACAAAAACTTAAATCCCTCTCTATGGGCCTTAAAAGGTCTGTTGAAGCAGAGAATCTCCTTGAGGCCAAAGTTGCTGAGCTGGAGTCTAAGTTGAGTGAGTCAGAGAAAGGAGTTGCTGACTTAAAGGCAAAGAGGGACGGTCTGGCAAATGAGAGGGATTCCCTCAGAGCTGAACGGGATACCCTGAAGACCGAACGGGATTCTCTTCAGGATGAGGTTGATGTCTTGAAAACTGAGTTGCTCTGACAGAAAGGGACTCTCTCAAAGCTGAGAAGGGAGACCTTCAGCGCTCATTCATTGCTGAACGGTTGTCTCATACGAACTCACAGGAGAAGCTCTTAAACGAACGGTCTTCCTTACTGAACATGATTGGCAAAGTCGAAGGGGGTATGAAAGCTCTCCTTGCTCGCTTCACCAGAACCAGTGCCATCCGGTATGCTGAAAGGTACAGAGACGGTTTTATTGACCGTTCTCCCCCTGAAGGCGAATCAAGCTTTTATGCTGGTCCAGATGAATTAGATGCTTCTCTGGATATCCACCCCCTAAATAATTATCAAAACCCACCCTGCGATCCGGCTGAGAATATCTTCATCGAGTGCATAGAGGTTGCGTCCTCAGGAATTGTTCCACCCTTTCATCCCCTGAACATTCTTCCTCTTTCTACCATTGTGCCCTCTTCCTCAGTTGTTGCTGACAGACCTATGCCTGCTGAGGGAGTGATTCATCTTGACTCCCCTTCTAAGGATGATAGGGCAGCTGAGAATAGAAAAGACTTCAATGGTCCAGAGGATGATGGTGGGGAGAACGACAGGTTACAGCTTGGAGAAGATCATCAGAACTGACATCCTGTAGCAGTTTTTTTTTTTTTTCAATCATGTATCGAGTTATGTACCTCAAGACCTTTTTGTAATGAATGACAATGCTTTTGCTCAGCATGACTTCCATCCTTCAAGTTTTCCATTTTCAGCTTTGCTGTGTATTTTCACAAGTGTTTGGTGTTCGGCCTTGTCACCGTTCTGGCTTTATTTTATTTTGAGCGGCTTTACTTTATTTTGAGCAAGTGTCCTGCGTTTGGCTCGCAGTGCCAGCTTCCACTATCTTTGATGAGTGCCTGGCGCTCGGCTTGAACGCCTATTGCCACTTGGCTTTATTTTTGTTTTTGAGCAAGTGTTTGGCGTTCGGCTTAAAGTGCCAGCTGCCACTAACTTTACTG